TCCWGTAGTTGTATGAGTGTACCTTTTTCCCCACATCCTGGCCAACAGTTATTATTGTTTGTCTTCATAATAGCTGTTCTGACTGAAGAGAGAATGGTATCTTAGAGTAGTTTTGATTTGCATTTCTCTAATTGCTAGAGATGATGAACATTTTTTTATATATTTGTTGATTGATTGAATATCCTCTTCTGAGAAGTGTTTGTTCATGTCCTTGGCCCATTTTTTGATTGGGTTATTTGTTTTTTTGATGTTTAGCTTTTTGAGTTCTTTATATACCCCAGAAATTAGTGCTCTAGCTGATGTGTGAAGGGTAAAAATTTGCTTCCAAGATGTAGGCTCTCTATTCACCTCGCAGATTGTTTCTTTTGCCGAGAAGAAAATTTTTAGTTTGAGTCCATCTCATTTATTGATTCTTGGTTTTAATTCTTGCACTATAGGAGTCTTATTAAGGAAGTTGGAGTCTAATCCCACCTGATGAAGATTAGGGCCTACTTTTTATTCTATTAGACGCAGAGTCTCTGGTTTAATTCCTAGGTCCTTGATCTACTTTGAGTTGTGTTTAGTGCATGGTGAGAGATAGGGGTTTAATTTCATTTTGTTGCATATGGATTTCCAGTTTTCCCAGCACTATTTGTTGAAAAGGAGGCTATCTTTTATCCAATGCATGTTTTTGGTGCCTTTGTCTAATATAAGATAATTATAATTTTGTGGGTTTTCTCTGTGTCCTCTATTCTGTACCATTGGTCTACCAGTCTGTTTTGGTGCCAATACTATGCTRTTTTTGTTACTATTGCTCTGTAGTATAGTTTAAGGTTTGGTATAGTGATGCCACCTGTTTCACTCTTCTTGCGAAAGACTGCTTTAGCTATTCTGGTCTCTTAAATTTTCCAGATGATTTCATGATCACTTTTTCTATTTCTATGAGGAATGTCATTGGRATTTTGATCGTAATTGCATTAAATCTGTATAGTGCTTTTGGTAGTATGGTCATTTTGATAATATTAATTCTGCCTATCCAAGAGCAAGGAAGATCTTTCCATCTTCTAAGGTCTTCTTTGATTTTTTTCTTTAGGGTTCTGTAGTTTTCATTGTATAGATCTTTCACCTCTTTCGTTAAATTGATTCYCAAAAAGTATTTTAATTTTTTTGAGGCTATTGTAAATGGGGTAGTTTTCCTCATTTCCCTCTCAGAGGATTTGTCATTGATATACAGAAATGCCTTTGATTTATGGGTGTTGATTTTATATCCTGCTACTTTGCTGAATTCATTTACTATTTCTATAAGTTTTTCTGGTGGTTCATCACATCAATAGTCTCAAAGATAAGAATCATATGATTATCTCAATAGATGCAGAAAAGGCATTTGACAAAATACAGCACCCCTTCATATTCAAAACACTAGAAAAACTAGGGATAACAGGAACATGATCTCAACATCCTAAAGGCTATCTACAGTAAGCCCCAGGCCAACATCATTCTAAATGGAGAAAAATTGAAGGCATTCCCTCTAAAAACTGGAACAAGACAGGGATGCCCTCTTCACCACTTCTATTTAACATAGTCCTTGAAATACTGGCCAGAGCAATTAGACAAAATAAATTAAAGGGATACAAATAGGAAAAGAAGAACTTAAATTAATTAGCACTATTTGCTGATGATATGATTCTATACCTAGAAGACCCAGAACTTGTTTTTAACATTGATGAATTAGGAGAGCATCTGAGGTCCATGTGTTAGAGCTGTGGGATGGAAAAGAGACTAGAGAGGGGACAGCCTGGTAGGGAGACCTCCAAGGAAGCTGCCGGGAATGAGGCCTCTGTTGCTCTTATTAATTGGCCTTCACTGATTTGGCCCAGCCCAGTTTTAAAGTCGGGGGATACCCCACAGAATGCAGGCAAGTCTCTCCTTTTCTACTAGGGGTAAACAGATAACAAAAAAAGCAAACAAATCAACGGAATTAACAAATAAAATTGAGGAGCCAGGCATAGTGGCACACACCTATAATCCCAGCCACTCTGGAGGCTCAGGCAAATGGATCATGAGCTAAAAGCCAGCCTCAGCATCTTAGTGAGGCCCTAAGCAACTTAGTGAGATCCTGTCTCAAAAAATAAAAATAAAAAAAAGTTCTGGGGATGTGGCTCAGTGACCCTGGGTTCAATCCCTAGTACCCCACACAAACAAAAACAAACAAAATTGAGGAATACAAATGATTAAATAAAGGTAGAATAAAGCAGGTAGTAAGGCCTGAGAGGAAAATGGAGATGCAGAGGAAGACACCTGTGAGCTGGGATCAGAGCTCCAAGACACCCTGGAATCTGTGGTCAACATTTGTTATATACCTGTGTGTGCATTATTCTAAGAAGATTCCATCCTCTTCAGTATATTAAGATGCTTATTGAAATATCTGGGGATTGAATCTAGAGCCTGGTTTTCAACCCAACAGAATACAGTAGTATCATTGGCAAAGTAGTGCAAAAAATTCTCAAATATAAACTCTTTATTATAAAGAATAAGACCAAGAAACATTTTTTAGTAGTCAGATATGTTTTGTTTCAATTTTTTCTTCTATATTAACCTGTTATGGAAAAGTGTGTGTGTGTGYGTGYGTGTGTGTGTGTGTGTGTGTGTGTGGTGTGTAGTCATTCATTCCTCCCTTTCCTCCTCTCTCATTTCATGGAGCTTGGTAGGAGATACGCATTTGTGGGTACAAAATTGGGCTCAATCTAAACGTATCCCAGACAGAAAGAAAGACATGGACTTTTGTTCTTCCTGTCCTAAGACAGATGACCGACCTGAAGGGGACCATCCCGCTTGCTCTCAGGGGGATACTGTTCTTGCATTTTAATCACTTAACGTGTGGGCGGCACACACAGGACCACACAGATCCAGTCTCTAGAGTGAGGGGCAAGGCTTCTGGAGGCCTGTGCCCAGGCCATCGGCCTGGAGCCTACTGGCCGCCACGCGGAGTCCTCAGCCCCGGGCCGCGGAAGGCCGGAGGAAGCCCGGGGAAGACCCCCCAGGACCCAGGAAAGGCAGGGGAGGGCCGGGAGGCCTCGGGGAGGGTCCCGGAAGCTTCAGGGAGGCCGCGGAGGCCCTGGAAGGGTCAGGGAAGGCCGGGGGAGGCGCAGGCCGCCTCGAGGGCCGCTGGGGCGGCAGTGGCTGCGACCTTGCCAGAGGGGTGCCCTGGGAGCACTCCGCGCCCCGATGGACGAGTGGGCAGCGACGCCCCTGCCGGAGTCGGGGGGCGCGCAGGGGTCGCACCCGAGGCCCGGCGGCGGGCGGCATGACGCTCCCGACACGCCGGGCGGYCTGGAGACCCCCGAGCGGCTCCCCCTCCGGCCAGCCCCCAACAGACCCGCGGCCCCCGAGTCCCTGTGCCCCTGGTGGAACGCAGCGACGCCTAGGGCGCCCCGGCCGCTGGGCCAGGCCCGGGAGCCGCAGCCCCTGCCACGGCTGGCCTCCTGGAGCCCGGCCTGGGCCCTGGGCCTGAGCTCTGTGCCGGCGCCGGCCTGCGGGCCCCGCCGGCCCTTCACGGCCGAGGGCCAGGCCCCCCGCTGCCCGCTGCCCTCCTTGTCCTCCCGCTACAGGAAGGCCGAGTCGGAAGGGGCGCTCGGCAGGCCGTTCGCACTGCGCGCGGAGCGGCCGGGGCCTCSGGGCGGCTTCGCCCTCGGAGAGGACACCGGGGAGGACACGTGGGCCTGCGGCCCTGTGGGGTAAGAGCCCGAGCCCCGGGCGACCGCGAGCCCCACCTGCCGCCCTGGCCCGAGCTCCCCGCTGAGACCAGCCACAGCCTGGGAGCGAAGGGAGCTGCCCGCCCAGGGGCCTGGAGCCCCTCAGACACCTGCCTTCCCGCTCTGGGACTCCAGAAGCTCCCTTTCCTGGTCTGAAGCTCCTCCTGCTGGTGCCAGGGCTCTCCCCCAGGACAGGACCCTGCGTGGCCCCAGGCGGGCCTCTACTCCTGAGCCTCCTTCCTTCCCCATTCTCCCCAGCAGTGGCCGCAGACTCAGGGCAGGTGGACCATCCCCTACGGATCTGTGTCTCCCATTTCTCCAAGGCTCACCTTTACGTCTAGGAGACAAAAAATTGAAACCAGTTAGCGGATGTGTATAGTATTACGYGGCTTTAATTTATAATTCTTTCCAAATAGTTATGTCTTAACCCAGTGATTGGTTTGTTATCTTCTATTTTTCCAATGCTTTTACCTTAAATTGTAGTGGGCTTTTTGGACACCAGGAAAGTTTAGTGTGGAAAATATCACCCTGTCTTGGGGGCCTTTTAATGTCTCTGAAATATGCATAGGATTCTTGTTTTGCTTATATGTAAAGTTGACCTGGCTTCCAAATGGAGCACTTTTTATTTATTTATTTWTTWWTTTTTTTTTAGTTGTAGTTGGACACAACACCTTTATTTGTTAGTATTTGGTGCTGAGGATCGAACCCAGGGCCTTGCACTTGCTAGGAGAGCGCGCTACCACTGACCCACAATGCCAGCCCCAAATGGAGCACTTTTTGTTTTGAATGATTCAAAACAGACATCATGGCCCTATTTGTTAATTTCCAGATAACTCACCCCCCACCTTTTTTTCCAATTTGTATTTCATTTTTCTTATCTGATATCTCCTTTCTCACCTCTGTCTTAATTTTGTAATCATCTGTCAATTAAATTTCTAGTTTGCTTTTGTTTGTGCCCTTTCTTGTCCTGGTTTGCCCCGCATTTTTTTTTTTTAATCCTGGTTGATTTCATATGGTTACTCCAACCTCACAGTCCACTCTGCTTTCTAAACATTTTCTTTTATTTCTTTCTTTCTTTTTTTTTTTTTTGTGTGTGTGTGTGTGTGTGTGTGTGGTGGGGGAGGGATCAAACCCAGGGCCTCATGTATACCAGTTAAGTGCCCTAAGCTCCCACTTTCTTTTTATATGAATGTTGAATCTTACCCATAAATGTGCCTGTCCCACAACCTGTATAGGATTTTAAGGAAACAGAGGAGCAGCTACAACAAAATGGGCAGAAGAAATGGTGAGAACTGTGGCACCACAGTCCATCTGTCAAGCATTTCTCAGGAGGTATGGCAGATGCTACTGAACTTGAGCCTTTGGGCAGGAGCTCTCATTGCTAAAACAATTCCCACTGACTTTTACTACAGAGATAACCTTACTGCTTTCAGTTTGTGAGCTGTTTGTACTGTTTTTCCCTCTGCACGTTTGAGATATCAAACGTTAGCTTCTCTCCAAATCTCAGAAGATTTCGTTAAAGATGCTATTTATCAGTTATCAGTCAGGCAATTCTCACCATTTTRCTTTCTCACGTGTACTTCATGGAAAATATCAGCAAGGCAATAACCAAGTCTGAGGCCTTAAGAAACTTGCAAACTAACTGATTTCATGTTTAGCTGACCAGCCTTCCTTACCCATGTCACATTTGATTGTTAATTTGTTTGTATAAACAGCAGTTTTTATCAACTTCTTTTTACCATATGAATGTAAGGATGTTTCTCACACGTACATTTGAGACACTAACTAGTGTCCTGGGATTATATAGCTGAAAGAAATTTGTGAATCCATTGGGGAAGTTTTTAAAACGCAAACATCTGACTTCACCCTCATTCTACTGAATTAGAATCTGTATTTTTTATCAACTTTTTTCTTTTTAGTGCTGAGGATGGAACACRGGGCCTCACGCATGCTAGGCAAGCATTGTACCACTAAACTACAATCCCAGCCCTCAACTATCATTTTTAAAAAGTTCCCCAGGTGGTTCTCATATAGCAACTAGACCTCACATATGTTATATCAGAAACAGAAGTTTATTAATTTTATTTTCAAAAGTTTCCAAATAAAAATAATYGGCACCCTCCTTTCCCATATCCCACTTTCCTTCCTATCAGGAGATACCCTGCTGTGAATAAATTAAATCCCTGTGTGTATTGAAGCTTATTTCTCCCTGTTCCTCCTTAGTGTGGAGCTGATACCTAATAATACCTAACATTTCATTCATTTAGAGATTCATTTATAAAATTTTTTTTTGTCTGAGATAGAAAACAACTAGGTTCACTCCTCAAGTTACTTTCGTAACTTATCACTTCCCCTTTCTAGAATAGAGTATTAAAATCATTCCCTGCCCACACACACAGGTCTCCCCTATAGCACTCTGCACAACATCTGGAATAGAAATACTTAGTAGATATTAGTACCTTTCCCTTTTCAATCATTTTTTGTTTTCTTTTTGAGTATTTCCTGAGTGTTTCTCAACATCTGAAATCTAGATTGAGAGTTATAGACTTGTTAGCATTGGATATAATGCAAGGATTGGTGGAAAGGTTTTGTAGGCTTTCCGATCTGGTGCTCAGACACAGAAAACCTGATGAACATGCCATTGTGTACCACTAGTGGAACATGACTTTTTATTATATTTTAAAATCAATTTTGAGAACCTGTGTGTCATTTTAATAAAATGAGAAGGGAATCATAAATTATGGTAAGAGTGCTTCCATTTCCTGGATGTCAGGTGTTATCAAGCTGGTAAAGGTTTGATTAAAGGAATTGTCTTCATCAAAGATACTGAATGCATCCATCCTGGAGGCAGAGGGGTCATAGGACTTTGGGCCTTGTGTCATACTTTAACCAAAGAACRTGTAAAATTGTGTACTTGGGCTTTTAAAAATCTTCTTAATTTTAAGTATATCCTAACCAAATATTATTTTAGAATGTATCTTCCTGGAGTTTGGATTCCGAAGTACCTGTTCTTGAAAATAAAAACCTCCCACCTGGAAGGGATAGTGCAGCAGGTGGTAAGAAATCCTAGATGTGTATATTAATACTGGAATAATTACTTATGTTAAAGGGGGTTTGTTTGAAAGCAACCTGTTTTATGTAACTATTAATTGTCATTTTTTCATACACATTCTTTCAGGCAAAATTAATAAGGTAAGGATRTTTGGTTTTAAATAATTCACAAACATATTGTTTGAAAATGATAAGCATACTTGAAATTTTTTTCTTCTTCAAAATTAAACTTTAAATTTTATTTCTGCACAGTTCTTTAACCAAGGCAACGTGTTTCTGTTTTACAGGGCTGCAAATTGTTCATTTAATTAATATTTTTTTATTTTAACTATTTTTAATAAAACAATACTAGACATGGAAATTGACATGTAGTAAATATAGTGTTTTTTAGTCATTGCCAAAAGGGAAGTAGTCTCAGCCCTTACAATGTATCAAAGTGGTTGAAATGGTAAATATCCTGTTTTGAAATGGCATAAAATTAATCTTTCACTTACAATTTTTGATCAAAATATTAAATGCTTCACTGTAAAATAATGTTAATGATACTGAAGGTTCATTAGTTAACAATGTTTAGTTGGTATTGATAATAGATTTCTGATGAAATCAGTAAAACCAAAATGATTTTTGTATGCATAAAGGGAATACATTGGACCTTATGATAGATCCTGTGGTTAGAACAAGAACTATACCTTCTTAGAACATGAACAGGAAACACAGGCATGTTGTGTTTAAGTCTTCTGCTGCTTCATAGAACCATTTGGAAATTCCAGTAGAGCAACTGATGCTAGAACTTAATATGTCAGAGCATGCTCACAGGAGAACACAGGTGGTATTTTATTCATCRTATCATACTCTTAAATTATCATTCAAAAATTCATGTATTTTCTAAGACACTGTCATGATCTTTCTATTATCAGAATAGTAAACAAGAGCTGTTTCAGTTATGGAGTTACCCTCTTAATGAAGGAAGTACCATGGAGAACAGGTAAGAAGATATTTTTGTAATACTCTAAATTACTGAAATAACTTTAAATACAGATGAATTAGCTGCTTGAAATACAAGAGCCAAAAACAACCAAAGAAAATTGTGTGGAAATTACAGAAATCCACCCTGAAATAGGAAGTGGTAGTGGACACCACAAACTAGCCAGCAGGCAGGTAAGAGGTGAGTTCACTGTGCCCTTGCTATGAAGGCTTAGATGACACTAGGGTTCTCTTCAAGTTGTAGTAATTTTCATCTCTTACTATGGAGGATTAGATGGATAGAGTTGGACTTGTCGTTGAAAGGAAAAGGAAATATAATAGGGAAGTACTATTCCAGGAACTCTTTGAATTCTCTATACATATTAACTCATTTAATCTGAGCCCAGTGTTACAAGGTAGGTGCTGTTAGCATTATCCCTGTTTTACAGATGAGGACACTGAGGCATGGTGACCAGTTCTGTAACTTGTCAAAGTGACACAATTAATGGATGGTGGAGCTGAGATTTGAAGGTAGCATAGTCATATCATATTTCCCTGGGTTTGCATTCTCATGTTTTGTGCTTAGATTTTACTATAGGTTAGAACCAGCTAGACTGCCCCTTAAAAACATAGGTGTTTGGAAATTACCTCTTCTTGAACACTGCTCGGTGACACTTTTACACATAGTGAAGGGCATCCCAAGTCCCATTCATCTCATCCAGCTGTAACAACAGAGTGCGTCACTTGACAGTAGCTCTCTTCTGGTCAGAGGATTTCAACTCCATGAGGCCCAGAGGAAAGCTGCTCTTATGTAAAATTCAAGGGAGAACCAAGAAGTGCCAGGAGAATTGTGTGCGCTAACAAGGGAATGTTGGTGCTGCTGGATAGGCTAACTTTGTGAGAAAGCACTCAGCTAGGGACAAGGATGTCAAGGTAAGAGGTCAAACACAGTGAACTGACTTTTTTATCACAGTAACAGAGGAGCAAACATTAAAGGAGGCAGAAGAAGGCAGTGGTTGGGATCACAGCCATGATCTCTACCTCCTGGGTTCAAGTCCCAGCCCCACCAGTTACTAGATATGTGACCTTAGCCACAGTGTATCTCAGTGTGCTTATCTATAAAAGGAGGAAAGGGAGAGAGCCCATCTCATGGGGATGTTGTGAGGACTAAACTGAAGCATGTGTTTGATAGGGATTTGCTCTTCATGCTGGTTAGGCCTAAGGATGATACAGAGATGGAAGTTGGGTGTCAATGAAATAGTTCATTACAATTTTTCTCCTCAGTGTACCATCAACAAGTAAGGAGGATGAAAATTACTTGCATTTAGTGTTTAACATTTCACAAAGTACAGTGATATAACATGTTCTCCTCAGAACTCCCCTGAGGTGGATATTGACCTTTGCATTTTGCTTATTCACTGCTGCTGGTATGGGGTCACACTTAGGCCTTCCTCCTCCAGCCTGTCTGCTCTTTTTACCATACAGCAGGGGCTCCTGTCTTTGAGCAACTGCAGATTTAAAGGGATTTTCCTGTAGTTTTTCAAAGGCAAGGCAGCATTCCTAGTGCTTAGCTATAGTGCTTAGCTAAATGAATAAACCTTTATCACCTTCTGTAGTAATTAAAGTATTTTTCAAAATCCTAGATTACCTTATCTTTACTGTAAACTGGCCACTTATAGAAACAAGACCAATGTTAAGACCACATGTCAACTTAAATGCATCTGATCTTTCAATCCCAGTATTTCTAGCTATCTTAAAAAAAAAATCTAGTAACTCAGTATTTTATGACCTAGTGTTTTTGCAGTTTTCAGTATTATTGTTGTAGTTTTACAGTATTATGTTAATATAATGCCTAGAAGAATCAATCCTAAAGTAAAAAGGCACCATTAGAAGAAAATTACTAGGGACTATATCTGGAATAATTTTGGTTTGATAGATATTTCTTACTTTTTTGTTAGAATAATTTTTTAAAACTACAGTGATTAACAGAAGTCTTTGTTAAGTAACCTAAGTACATTCGTTAAGTTTCCTTTTATCTGATTCTAAGTCATTTCACTATAATTTCAGTTTGAGTTGGATATCCTAATTTTCAGACATCATAATTTCATGTGCAATATAGGTAAATGAATATAATTAGCCACTTTTAACCTTGTGGCTTCCTAGCCACAGTTAGCTGTTTTTAGGTCTCATTTCAGGTATCTTGCTACCGGCTGGATAAGCTAACTTTGTGAGAAAGCACTTGTGCAAAGGGATATCTAATTAATATTTTAATCTGTATAATTTATATAATTAAAGCATATTTTGAAATTAATATATTTTTGTTGCAGATAGCTAGATACACATATACATATGTGCCATTGGGAACTAAATGTTAATCAATCTTTGACAAAGGTTATTTATTTGTATCATTTAATAGCATTTTAATTATAGTCAACAAATCACTCATTAATTAAATTWTTTTTTAAAGGGAATTCAAAAAATCTACAATGGAAACTGGCTTTAATGTAGTCAATAATCCCATAAGGCTCTTTACCCTAAACCACTCATTAACAAGTACTCCAGCTGATCAGCAAGCTGGTTCTAAACTGGGACTGCCGATGCCAATAGGTCTCTACTGGCCCTATGCTGACGGAGACTTTTTAAAGGACAGAAGTGAGTTTCAAATTGATTCATGTTCACCTATAGAAACCAGCAATGGAGAAACTTTATCTGCTCCAAACTGCAACCTTAAACATGGAAACAGCAGTGTGGAAGAAATTTTAACTGATGAAAGTGACTTATCAGAAAACGAGAACACTAATGATACTTTACTCAGCTATTTTAAAAAGATGGACTTGAAGTTAAAGCCAGAAACAATAGAAAATGTTGAGGAATCTTTTACTGAGGAACCAAGTGAAGTATTTCTATATCCTGATTTTCTTCCCCCTCCTTTCAATACTCTGGATTTGCACAAATTTGCCTTTTCAAGATGTGAAAATTGGAAAGCAACATTGGACTCTCCAGAAAGCTCCATTGAACAGCTGATAACTCGTTTACTAGAACTGGAACGATTACAACATATGACTATACAAAAGGAGCGGTCTAGGCTACCAAGTGCTTTCTGTTCTCCAGCAGTTTCTGAGCGACCCTCTTCCTCCAAAAGTACATTGAAAGCGAGGCAGCCCAAACTTCCTGACGCTTTGAGTCTTCTGACATCTTGTGTAGATAAAAGCCGAGAAAAGAGAAAAAACAGTTCTGGTTGTGGTAAGCTTGAACAAAATGCTTCAAAGTGGAATTGGAGTGGTGATGGAAAATATAAATGGAATTCTAGATCACCATCTCTAAAAAGTTCACCAACCACAAAACAATGTATTGCAACTTATGATGATTTTAAGAATCCCAAAAGTTTCACTTCAAATTCATGCCAAGAACTCTCACCCAAGCCTTCCACTACCCAAACTACTCAATCACTGGTTAAAATAGGCTCAACAAGATGCCTGCCACCAAGGTCTCCAATACCAGTTTCACCTATACCCCTGTCTTTTCCTGAAAATCACAGGGAAGAAATTAAATCACAATGGACCAAAAGGAAACCTTACCAAAAAAGTATACTAATGAATAGACCATTCTATATTCAGAAACTAAACTGTTTTTCACCTTCGTTTATGGATAAGGGTAAATGCTCACCCATTGACCAAAAATAACTCTTTTCTTTCATACATCCCAATGTGAGCAAATGTATTCCAAGAAGTTCAGCTAACATATGGTTTGTCATTCTGAGATGCAGGCATAAAAACAAAAACAAAACAAAAACAAATTAACAAGAAAACCCACACAAATTGATTGCCTGGCGAGATATGGAGTGCAGCCTGTGCGTCACAGCTGAGCCATCTGTATACAGATCCAAGGGCTTACACATTGCTGCATCTGACAATTCTTCATGTTATGTTTCAAAGAAACGTTTTACTTAGTAAACCTAAGTATTCTCTTCAGCAGCTTGTTCTTTTGTTGTGATTGTTTTCCAGTATAACTCTATCATCAATAAATGGTATAATTGATAGATTGCTGTTGTAGTTATTCTTGGATCGTGCTGTGTTATAATCATGTAAGACTTGTAGTTACTTCTCAGTGACATTCTTCAGAGATCTTCCCACTCTGTATCAACCTTTTTCTTCTCCCTCTTAACCTCCACAAATCATCTGTCATTCTGATCTTTGGACACTGATTGGCCCTTAAAAGTTAAAGAAGTTGCTGTTCTCTTAATTGAATATCTGAGATCCTCCAGATTTTCCCCAGTCCTTAGAAACTTGCCATTTGTCCAGGCCCTTCTTTGTCATATACGTGAAAGTAATTATCAATTCTCTTTTGAACCCAACTACAGGTTTAGGAATACAATAACCCTTTTCCACTTTAACCTGATAGTTGAAGAAAAAATCTAATAAGGTCGTAGTCCGAAGTCAGAATCTCATTACTGGATTTTTTTTTTTCTTCAAGGATCTACATTGTTGTCTTTCCTTGAAGCTTAATTCATTAACAAGTGAAAAACTTTGACAAACTTTATTGCTAGGAATCAGGGAAACAAACAAAACAATAGAATTCTGGCTTCTACCTCTGGCTGACTGAAACAAAATTTTGGGGAGGGGGATCCATAGACACTATGAACAAGCATCCTGAGCGATTTTTAGTGCAGGTGATTCTTGGATCACACTTTGGAAAACATGAAGAAAAGCCTTAACATGCATAAATCAAAGATCTGGGTATCCTGGGCTATAGTGTGCTTCTGTTTAAGCGGATGATTGATGAATTCAAGTGAGTTTTTCTTTTCTTTCTTTTTTTTTGGTACTGGGGATTGGTCCCAGGAATGCTTTACCACTAAGGCATATCCCCAGCCCTTTTTGTTTTTTGAGATAGGGTCTCACTAAATTGCTTTGGRCCTCACTAAATTACTGAGGAACTTGTGATCCTCTGCTTCAGCCTCTGAGCTGCTAGGATTACAATCATGAGCCACTTGCCTGGCTAGTTTTTCTTCCACATTAAAAAATAACAAATGATTATAATTTAAAACATTACCCAAATGTACCAAATGAAATAAAAGGCCTCTTCCTTCCCACCAATTCAAGGCACAAACCCAGATATTATTAAGTTTCTGTGTATCATCCTCCCAAATGAGACAGAATATTTGAATTAGGAATGGGGAGATGCATTAATGAGTAATTCAAATAAATGTTAACGAGAGCAAATGTAGTTTGCTTTCTCTGTTACTTTTAGTTTTTTTAAAAAAAGGTTCAAATAGTTTTCTAAGAGGCAGGAATCACAGGGAGCATGCTTAGCTTTTAGTTAACATCAAATAATTTTCCACAATAGAAAATAATTGGTCAGTTCCCCTAAAAGTAATGGAATTTTACCTGTATTCCATCCAATAATTCTCATTATCAAAACCGGTATAATATTCTTTTCACAGAACTATAATGCAAAAGTGGACTTTTATTTTCATTCACTTCAATTCTCAGTGACCTTCCTTGGTTCCTGTCAATTATCTTTACTCTCAGTTCCCTCAATTTGAGAACTGAACCTTACAACAAGTGCTTTGTGTCCATTCTCATCACTTAACTGGATTTTATTCCTTCATCTTTAGGGTCATAATGATGTGAAGTTTTACAAGACTTTAGAAAGAAAAAAAAATATATATATATATTTCATATTATATATAATTGCATAAATATRATATACATGTGATTAAACCCAGGGGTCCTTAACCACTGAGCCACATCCCCATCCCTTTTTTATTTATTTTTTTTTGAGACAGTGTCTCATTAAGTTGCTTAGGGCCTCACTAAGTTGCTGAGGCTTTTAACTCATGATCTTCCTGCCTCAGCCTCCCGAGTTGCTGGGATTATAGGCATGTGCCACCATCATTGGGATTGTTATTCATGAATGGTTAAAAGCACTGATTGATCTATAACCTGAAATAGAAACCAGCCTCTGTCACTTAACAGCTCTAGTCTACATAAGCAGTTTCTTTAACCTCTCTGTGCTTCATTATCTGATTTGTAAAATGAATGAAATGCCTTTTATTTCATATAATCACGAGGATTAAATGAATAGGATTAAAAGTGTTTGGCATACAGCAAATTGTCAGAAGCCATTCATGAACCAAATCGGCATGGAAGCCTTTGAGTAAGAAAGTCTGGTGTCTGGGAACTCCCAGCGGCACTCCTGCTGGTGAGACTGCACCAATACATGTGACATTCTACCTAGTTCTGCCAGGTTCCACAGAGCACTGGAGATGGGGTTACCTGCTGGAGCCACAAAGCAATACAGCCTCTCAGAGATGGGTGTGGCTTGCTAAGATGACAATCAACCTGTTGAGGACAAGACACCATGAAGCAAGAGTCCTCCTGCTGAAACTTTATCCTTGCCTTTGATGTACCCCCTCAAATAAACGACTGGAGCCATTTTCTAGTTGTCCAGCTCCAGCTCCTGTGTGGACTGGATCTATCAGGSGCTCTATCCCTTAAAACCTATTTTTCTGACTCTGCCCCATATTCAGACTTTTATTTCCTCAGGTGGCTTACCCTCTTTTGAGAAGGAAAAATTACCCTGGTGAGATGCTGGCTGCCTGGTGATAGCAAATATTCAAAAAATGTAACAGGGAAATAAGAATGACTCAGGAAGGCAGACCTAGTGCAAGAATAAACTGACTTAGCATTGACTTTACTGTCAGCAGAGGAATGAGAGTGAGTTCTTAACAAATTAATGTTCTCCTTCTTGCAAGGAATGTTCCAGGCAAGCTCAGGAACATGGTATGTGGGAACAGACACAAACCCTTTCAGTGAGGCCAAGGTTTGCAGTGGCATGGGAGATGGAAGTAGATGGCAGGGAAGAGCATGTGGAAGTAGAGGTCACAAAGGTTAAGGCTGTCAGGGAAACACAGAACTGATTCCTGTATTGGAGGGCTGCTTTGGCCCCTTACAGTGTGGGGGAAAAAACTGATTCTGAGCTTTGACGTCCTCTATGAAGGATGATTTTCTTTTATGGACATGAATTTACCTGCTAGATCATCAGATGAAAATATGTGGCAAAAAGTGAAGCAAGGGTTTCTAAGAGTGATTTCTTTCTTTTTAGTACTTAGATTGAATTTGGGGGCACAACCACTGAGCTACATCCCCAGTCCTTTTTTTTTTTTTTTTAATTGAACCCAGGGCCTTGTGCATTCGAGGCAAGCACTGTACCAACTGAGCCATATCCCCAACCCCTCCAGTGCTTTTTGAGATAGGGTCTTGCTAAGTTGACCACACTGGCCTCTAATTTGTTATCCTCCTGAGTAGCTGGCATTACAAGCAAGTGCCACTGCATCTGGCAAAGGGTGAATTTTTTTTATTGTAAACAACCAGGCTATTTTATTTAGGATGCTATTAGACCTAAATAAAGGAGATACTGAAATACCTATCAGATGGTTTTCCAACACTGCTTTATTAAATATAAATATCAAATCTGGACAAGAAGTATTGCCATTTTCCATCACGGGACAAAGGTATCAATAATTTTAAGGTCAACATCACTTATTAAAAATACAGGTGCTGCTCCTACCCCCACCCTCCCTAAGGCTTGAGTCCCTTGAATAAGACCAGAAGTGGCAAGTTTGTAGAAACCATACATGCAGTCATCTCAAGTTTATCCCATTGATTAACAAAGGGAAATTCTTGTATCAAACAGGTAATACATGTCAATAAGTGAAAAGAAACTAGCAACTATGAAACATTTGGCTATTTTTTCAGATGTGTTCAAAGCCAACTTCTACCATCATTAATTTTGCTTAACTGGGGATTGAATTTAGGGGTAATCTATCACTGAGCTACATCCCTTTGTAACGCAGGGTTCTKAACTTGTTCAAACTGACCTCCAACTTGTGAACCTCCTGCCTCAGCCTCCCAAGTGGCTGGGATTATCAGGGTGTGCCACTGCACCTGCTCTACCACTGTTTTTTGGTACTAGGTATGGAACCCAGGGGCATTTAACCACTGAGTCACACCCCAATCCTTTTTGTTTTGAGACAGGATCTACTTAAGCTGCTTAGGGCCAAGGTTGCTAAAGTTGGCTTTGAACTTGTAATGTTCCTCCTGCCTCAGCCTCCAGTCGCTAGGATTACAGGCATGAGCGACCACTCCACCCAGCTATCTCTGCCAATATTATTACTTTTCATGGTGAACTTTAATATTAAGTTATACATGACAGTAGAATACATTTATGCACTTTGATATATCATACTTAAATTGGATATAATTTCTCATTTTTCTGATCGTGCATGTTGCAGAATCACATTGGTCATGCATTAGCCATTATTTTGGATGGAAGTATTTGGCAAAGTTTATTGTCGAAAGTAATCCTGTTCAAGGGCAGAATAGAATAGACAATATGATTGATGTATGTACATTCCATGTATGTATTATATATCAAAATGCATTCGACTGTCATGTATGACTAAAAAAATTAAATAAAAATAAAAAAAGAAAGTATTCTTGTTCAAGAAAATTTAACTTGCTCAGAAATCCGTTTTTTTGCTCTCCATTATTCACTTTTTTCCTCAGCTCATTGGATCTTAGCAAGGTTGACTTGGCTTTTTTAATGAGCCACAGATGGACATATGAAAGATCTGGTTTCCACCTTCCACTCTGCATAATTCTCTCAAATGCACCAGAAACAATGACCTCATGACCACTTGTGGTATACAATTATGTAGCTCTATCCTGACACCCCAAGCAAATTAGAATGTGGTCCTTTAAGACACTAACATTCATCCCATTTCTTATAAAGGATGCAACCAGAATCAGTCTTTACCTGCCACTTGGAGATGATTAACTCCAGCTGGGGTGGATGTATTCTACAAAGCCAGACACTTCTACCCTTGCCMGAATAACCTAATCGTACTTTGCATGCACTAGGGATTTACACAACCTCTTTGGTCGTTCTTATTATGTTTGGTAAAGGGGATTGAACCCAGGAGAGCACTTAACCACTGAGCAATATCCTTAGCATTTTTTTTTTTTTTTAAGACAGAGTCTAATATGCTTAGGGCCTCGTTAAATAGCTGAGGCTGATTTTGAACTTCCCACCTTCCTGCCTCAGTCTGAGTTACTGAGATTAACAAGCATGCTCCACTGTGCCTGGCCTTATTTTATTCTTAAAAGCTGAAAACATTTCCTTAAAGGAAGAAAGGAATGAATAGGCTAGGGCTAAGAGCCTGATATGTCAGTGTTCTAAACGGGCAGTGAACCGATTTACTTGTTACTTGAAAAAAAGGAAGTTAGTTCATTACTTTGTATTGCTGTTTGTGAGGAAAATCTTACCACATTGGTTGTTTTCAAGGTACAGGTTCCAGAATCTGAGGATATATGCCACATTTATCCCCATACCTTTTCCAGTCATTGAGATGCACATCAAAATCTTCAGATTTTTCTAGGATTTCTATATAGCTTCAGCCCACCAGTCCCTAATTATATTTGAGCACAGAATATATATATATTTTTTTGGTCTGGGGTTGAACCCACAGTCGATTCACCAATGAGCCACATCCCCAGCCATTTCTGTTTTTTTCACTTTGAAATAGAGTCTCACTAAGTGACTTAGGGCCTGCTAAGCTGCTGAGGCTACCTTTGAACTTGTGATTCTCCTACCTCAGCTAACTAAGTCACTGGGATTGCAGGTGTGCAACACCACACCTAGCCAGAATACTTTTCAAATCATATCTATCCTTAATGAAATGGCAGCTAAGAAACCTCAGGTAAGAATGTTTGTAACTTTAAACTAAATGTAAAATGCCAAACCTAAGCCAAGGGGGGGAAAAAAATCAGCAGACAATATGCTACCAAGAGGCATTATTTTATTAAGTTTTCCAATAAGTCAATTGGGGACATATGCTGCTAAAATGCAAGTTACAAATCAAATAATACCATGAACAATTAGGATACACATTGAGTATTTTCAGAGATCAGCTTCCATATCTTGATTGCTAAATGGAAAGGTTCTTCAGAACTGTCCCTTACCCTATATATAGAAGGAGAAGAAAAATTAAGGATGCTACAATGGTATCTCAAAATAACTGGAAAATATCTTAAAGTCAAATTAGTGTACATCATTTGACATGTAAAAAATAAAAACAAAAATCACAAATGAATTTGCTGGGGGACATTTTTATAAAGGATATAAAATATATGTTGAATTTCATTTTGGAACTAGCATACTGTTAAAAAAACATAGTTATGGAGCCCACTGTTAATGATGTCATTTTAACTGAAGAAGGTGTATTACATATTTGATTATGTGACTTATTTTGTATCTCCAACACTTAAGAGGACACTCCCTAATTGCTTAACCTAAATTTTAATGAATGTGATTCCTGTTTAATTTCAGAGATTTTATCTCTACCTATATAGCTGGGAGTTCTGCTTATGAATGATGATAAAGTATGGGTAAAGCAGAAAAGAGGAATGCAAGTCTGGAACAAAACTGAGAACATTTCAATACCTCTATCACATACTATAAAACATTACATATTTTGTATTGTAAAAAATGTCCTTAGTGTTTATTTTTGTTAGGAAAATGTGGTAGTTATAATGTCAAGATAAATATTATGTTAAAAATACAACAAAATAGTCCAGCAAATAGAGTGAGATAGMCATTGGGGAATGAAGAAATAGTTTTCAATACAGATTTACAGATAAACACAAATATCAGGAGGATCTTATTTATGACAAGATGTTCCCCTTGCTCAAAATCCACTTATTTCTGATGATCTTTGAGAATAACCTACCCAGAGACAATGTACCTAAACTTCATATGCTTTCCAGTTCTCCTCCAGCCCTAGAAAGAACTAYGACATCTTTGGAACTATGTTTAAGACTTTCACGAACTCTCAAGTACTTGATATTATTTTTGCCATAAAGTATAAGAAAGCTGAAACTTCATAACAGATACTTCTATTTGAAAATTATAAAGCTATTCTGAAACACGAATGCAGGTTTGTTAAATAAGATCATTAACTAAACGACTTCAATGTTACAGAGGTCTTAAAAAAAGTTCCAAATTTCTGCCTCAGCAAAATTACAAATTCAAATAAAACCATGTATATGTATGTAAGATGTTTTTTACAGGGTTTTTTTCAAGTAGATAAAAATAGGAATGCTAAATTTTGGAACATGAAAAACTAGTTATCACCTTTTTCATTTCCCTTAAGAAAAACTGACAATGGCTCTGAGTAATCTATTTTAAGACCATGACTGGAGCACTTGTTAAAACAAGGTTATTAAAGGTTAAGTAAGAGAATAGATTAACTAAAGGAGTTAAATACATTCTTAAAATTCCTGCTTCTACTCTTCTGTACCTGCTTAAAGCTGAAGATTACTTTTAGATGTATGCTGCTGTTTTTCTAATAATCCTTAGCATATAATTTTTACAACCATGTGTTATGTGGGATCTTAAGCACCCAAGAGCCTTTTATATCACTAAACTTAAGTACTATTTTTATTTTAGAGGAGGGGTATAGGGGAGAAGAGGCAGGAAGTATGAGAAAACAAGCACTTTACAAGATGAACACCACAATAGCACTACTATTCTAAATACCAAACACCAATGAAACCCAAATCATAATGCTGAAAACTAAAAAAATTAGACAAAAACTAAATGGAGCCTTTTTTTTTTTTTAATCTTTTATAGGACAGAAACCTTAGCTCATGTCTTCTGGTTGTCATCATCTTCCACTGAGCTGCACCTAAAACACAAAGAACAAGTAACAAGCAACTTTGTTTTTTAAAGAACAGGTAATAGTTTTGAAGGTAAAAGATGAACTGTTTCTAGTGGAAATTAACTTACTTATTAAATAATTATATAAAATGAAGTCATGAAAATCACCAGAAGCATCAAAATGTCAACTATTTTGAGTGAAAATAACTACAAAAGACTTGAATATGCAGCATACTGTCACCAAAATAAAGTACATAATGGTGGGAAAATTACTATCCATATTATTAAGGTAGAAAAGCTGCATGTGATGCCTTATTTAAAAGGCTTCACTCTACCTGAAGATGAAAAATCACCTTGCTTTTATTTTAGTAAGTCTAAACCATGAAGAGTCGGGGTGTAGATTCAGAGTTGGCTTATTATATCATCTATCACCTTCCTGGCTGTGCAGTTCATTTCATGTCTTTAATTGGAGCAAAACCCACCAGAAGAATGCTGCTATTCTGATTTTCCATTCTTGAATGCACCAAAATGTGCATGCTTGTTGTAATTAGGTGCCTGGGTGAATAAAAAAATCCCATTTACAATTTTAAAATACTATTTAAATCCCTAAAATCTGATTGTTTTCCATATTCCTCAGGGAGACAAGCATTAATTTTACCCCCCAAACAGAAAAAGATTACATATGCTTTTGAAAATCGTATCAAGTTACAAATACGAATTCCTCTGTTTTGCAAAACCAAGCTGATTTACATGATTTTGTTTTAAATCGTTGCTAAATGTTTATCTACACATGCTGTCAGAAATAACCTTGTTAAGAAGGTGAAGCTGGTGTCTCAGCAAATCAGACCCCTTGCAGAAGGCGTTGAATGGCCTGTGCCCCGTTTTCCTTTTTCTCTTTCCGCACCATCAAAAGGAAAAGTGAGAAAATAGCAAAAACATTAGTTAAATCCTGCATTATACCCCATAACCTACAGGAATAATCTCACTACACTGAAAGCTGACAATATTGTGGGCTTTTGGGGGGTGGGGGATAAAAATAATTAGAATCCTAATTATTAATAAATTGATAAACTTTTGGCTAGATTTACTTCTTTCAACAATACTCTCAATTAAAGACTTCAGGATAAAAAGAAAGGTTGCTTTTAACTATTTATGGTTTACCTGACTTACCAGCACTGAAGACAAAAACTTTTAAAAATGGCTACAAATGCCTTGTTCACAAAAGACTTTATTATCTAGTGATGCATACTGAGAACATACAGAAATCTGCATGGTCCACTTCACATGCAGTAGAACAATCTTCACTTTACAATAAGTGAGTGTCAACTGTTTATGCAATAGACAACACTTTAAAGTCACAATCTTAAAGAAAAGCTTCATTTACAAAAGAAATAAAAGGTAAAGAAGCAATTACCGCTTTTAAAAAGCAGCTGCTTTGTTCAAGAGTGGAAGGTTTATGCCTGTATTGAAAGACAACATGATCACAAATAATGAAAACAATGAACAAATGAAAAAACACTTTTACCATAAAGCAGTACACTTTCAAAATGACATAMAAATAGTTAAAAATTTCATTATGTTGTCTATCTAACCTTTAAATATGAGGACTTTGAGAATTAGGCCTCAACATTTGTAATTAGTAAATGAAAACTATGCATCGTTTCTATGTCACTAGGAACTGTATTTAACAAAATGTATATAAAGTCTATAGCAAGTTGATTTTAAAAAAGTAAAGTTAATAAGAAACAGTACACTGAAGGCGCTCTATCCATCAAGCGCGTACTCTTCAAATTTTAAATGTGATGAACAGAACAGAAATTGTAACTATGCCACAGTTGCAATGCCAAAAAATAAAACAAGATCAGTTATCACACATGCAGGGAATTCTGCCACAAAGCTATTATCCCTCATTTGTCAATTATTCCAATAAAATAACATCTTAAAACACCAGTGATGTTGATGGTTTAGCTTACCTTCAGTGTACTGAATGTYGTACACAACCTGCTTTAAAAGAGGAGACCGTCCCTGCAGGCAGGCTCAAGAARGAACAGACCCCTTTCGGCACTGACTACACCAAGGGCATGCTGCTGTGGCCTGCACACACACACCTAGGAAAACGTGAATATAAACAGCATTTATGCTGGCCATTTTATCTGAAGACCAAAATGAAGCCAATTCTGCTAAAAACGAATCAACCACCCATATTACTACTCATTTTATAACAGATGCTTTTGTCTTTTATGTGAACTGCAACCATATACATTAGCACTGTAATTTTGTGCAGTCTTGGCAATTAAAACAGTTCTACAGTGAAATTTCACATAAGACACAAAACAGATTAACTAACATTTCTAAAAGAAATATCACCCTTGGTGTTAATTCAAATATATCATGCTTCCTCAAATTTGCTGGAGAAATATTTATAAGTTTATATACATTAATAATAAACTGCTGTGAAATTTCTTCAGTCTTTGTATTTAATTACTCAAACCCTTGGAGTTTCTTCATCTCGTTTAAATTTTTTCCTGGATGAAAGCATGCTGTAGAGCCTGGTTGATGCTAATTCGCTTAGYTGGGTCCAACATTAGGATCTGGTCCAACAAGTCCTTTAGCTGGTGTACTTTTTTACGTTGGTCTTCAGGAAGTCGCTGGCACCCAATCAAGTCAGCCAACAGGTCCTTAGTTGGATTAATGGTGCTCATGACAGTAACTTTCTCCTAAAAATAATTTTTACAATGCGTATCTCTAAATAAATTACTAAACAAAAACGACTTACATCAGACTGTTTTTTTGTCTACAAAAATATTAAGAATATGTATATCAATCACAATCAACTGCTCTTTTAAAATTTATGTGGCTTTCTTTATCCTCTACATCTTTTCAATAAGTAATAAAAAAACTTAGACATGTGGGTGGTTCACATCTATAACCCCAGCAATTCAGGAGACTGAGGCAAGAGGATCTCAAGTTCAAAGCCAGCCTCAGCAACATAGCAAAGCACTAGGTAACTTAGTAAGATACTGTCTCAAAATAAAAAATAAATAAAAATGGCTGGACATATGGCTTGGCGGTTGAGTGTCCATAGGATTAATCCCTAGCATCAAAAACAAAAACAAACACCCCSATCAAAAACAACAACAAAAAAAACCCAACCAAACAAAATTCCCCCAAAACCAACCAAACAAAAACCGCAAATAAACAAGCCGACCAAAAACAAAACAAACCCAAACAAAAAACCAAAAAAAAATCTTAGATGGAAAAGCTCCCCAAGTTAGCAATGAAGACAAAGAGTAAAAACTGGTCAAACTGTACTTTCCCTACTCTTAAGTGGCAGGAAACAGACATGTAAACAAGCTGATAACAAACATGTGCTTTGACAAAGTTATGCACACAGTACATGTATACAACATGTACTTTTGCTAAGGCTTGAATAAATTTTTTTGTAGGAGATGAGGAGGCAAATTAAATTAGCTCAGGGAAGTCTGAACCAATGTCCCTATCATTCAAGTGTAAAATGGTGGGGATAAAAGAAACTGCTGAAAGTGGAGTTCATACCAAAAAGAACTTTGTCATTCTGAAAAACTCAAATATCATAGATAGTAGGGAGCCAACAAAGTATTTTAAGCAATAAGAATTAGCATAATCAGATTTGTTTTCAGAAAGATCACTCTAGAAGCAGAACACAAGCTGAATGGGAAGCGAGACCTAGGAAGTGATCCAAGAGCATAGGTAATGAAGGCCTGAATATGACCTATCACAAAAAGAAACTCATGATGATACTGAAAATCATCCTTTCATAACCTGACATATTTTATTGAGAAACTGTTTGACAGGAAAAAGGAAATTTAAAAATATTTTATTTTTTTTTTAATTCACAGCTCCATGTACCACAGAGTACTCAATTCATTTAATGTAGCACACTTAAAAACACTTACCCTCTCTGTTACTTTATCAACTTCTACATACATGAAGTTCAGATTTTGATCAAAATGTTGGTCTTTGAATACACCTTTCCGGATCATCTATAAAACAAGACAGAAAAATCTGGATTTTAAACTTAAAATTATAAAGCAGCCTGGGCCTACTAACAATATTTACAAAGTTTATTATGTAGTCTCTCTTGGTATTAGTTTCTTGCTTTCAGAACTTATTAACATCTTTGCAATAACTAATCCAAATGCTATACCTAAATTACTAATAATATGAAATGACATTTTCACAGTTACTGACAAACAATTGCTATGATACAGGTAAGATTTCATTAAAACAAGTGTCAACGTAACTAATTTGTACAACTTATTCTAAACAAGTTTGATGTAATAGAATTTGAACAATTCTAAAAATAATAATGGATTCTGATCCATAAGAAAAATCTGTTAAAATGTTTCAGAAATTCAATAAACAAGCTGAAATCTTAGAACAGYTAAGATACAGAAAGCCCTCTCATATTTTCATAAATATCTTTCTCATAAATAAAGTTGTTCCTTCATGTTAAACAGAAAACTAGTAGGATAGCTGAAGCACTAAGGGTGAGCTTTATGTTCAAAAGATATTCTAATAAGTGAATTTTCTTGGTATCCTCCTTTCCCAATGACTTCTAATCTTTAACAAGCTAATTATTAAGCTCAAAGTTCATCTATTCTTTCTCTAACCACCAAGCACTTCTTTCATTTTAACTAAACCAGTCTACATCTTTTTTCATTTTATCTCCCAAACACGTAACAAGACTGAACTCCTCCTCTCCCCATCACTGAAAATGTTCTTTTGATAGGGCTGGGGATATAGCTCAGTTGGTAGAGTGCTTACCTTGCATGCACAAGGTCCTGGCTTCAATCTCCATCCAGCACCACACACACACAAAAAAAGTTCATTTAATAGCTCTTGGGTGATTAGAGCCACTAATTTGAACATCAGAAACTTGAAAAGAGCTAAGGAATGAAGGTAGACATCTATCTACCTCTCTAAAAYTTTTTATTTCACAGCTATAATGGTAAATGTCCATCAGTCTATACAAAAACTTGAAAAATTAAGCTAATGTCCTACCTTATTTGGCATCTTTCCTTTGAGATCCATGGCGAGTTTCAACATATGGTTGTTGGTTTTGCCAGGAAATAAAATTTTTCCAGTGTAGAGTTCATATAAGGTACAACCTACAGACCACATATCTATACCATAGTCATAGCTTTTACCTATAACTGAAAACAAAATGCAAGTTTTTAATATATCAATGACTGACTTAAATTAATTTTTTTATTTCCATTAACAGGGGACTATCTTGACTTTGATTATAATCATAACTTGAACACGTCAGTTTGGCAATTAATTTTGTGTTCTTCCCAACTAATTCTTAACGAAGACTCTTAAAACTTCAAAAGTAGGGGTATGGGAGAAGTGAAGGGTCAAAAAGAAAATATATATTCTTTTTTTCACTTCACCTTTGGTGGAGGTGCTAACCAACCTCAACCAAGGCAACAGGAAGAGAAAAAACAAAGGTCCCATACAATCCATAAATGTAATAATCAGACCTTGAATAACCAAGAGCAGTCTTCTAAAGTCGAGGATTTTCCACACCTGTTTTGCTACTCTTGCTTGACATGATCAAGACTCCTGCCACAACTACTTTCATTCCACCTGAGGAGGATGAACTTGCTATGGTTCCCTTCCTCATGAATGAACTCGAGCAGCTGCTGAAGTGTGATGGAAAACAGTGCTTAGACATTACATATGCTGTTTCCACCGCATATGATGGCCCAGGTCAAAGAACATTTTGAGAAACTTACTGATCTCAGGAGCACGATAAAATCTACTGACAAGATAAGGTGTTATGTCATTATCTGCAACATGTGAAGCCGATCCAAAATCACAAAGCTTTAAAATCGTTTTTGATTCATTAACCTGCAAGACATTTTTTAAAGAAAATTTAGTTCATGTCAGGAAAAACAAACACAAATGAATAATTAAAATGGCTTTAAGAAGTTTTATTAATTCCAATACTGTGAACAAGAGCCATTTATAAAAATTCCTATTCTATTTATAACTTAATTTTCCTAAATATGAAAAATTAAGCTCTCACAAATATTTTATTATGATTAGTAAAAAACTTTTTTCAATGAGGAATCATGGGATAAAACTAAATATTTAATTTTAACAAAGAGCATTTAAAAAAGGGTAGGATTGAGAGAAAAAAAATATCTAATTTCAGGAGACAAAGCATCTTCTAGAAATCGCCTGAATACCTGAGTAGTCAAGTTGCTCTCTAAAGAAACATGAAAACATTTGTTAATAACTTTGATTTCAGTTAACTTTCAGTTGCCACAAAATTACAATGGCAATGAAAGCAAAAGGGTGATTCAGGTTAAATTTGGACTGGAAAAAAAAAATTTTTTTTTTATATGAAGCTGGTCTAGATTTAGCAATCTAGCAATCATGTCAAGTTTAAAAATATCAAATCCCTTAAAATATAAAGAAGATATTAGTCAAGAAATGTTAAATATTTGGCAAAACTGATAAACACGAACTCTATATTAGTCATTTGTTCTCGTTTCCTTTGTAAATACTTTCACATACACAGTAACAGTGACATCTGCTGAGAAAGGCTGGAGCTGCTCCCATGACTGCTGCCACTCATGAGTCAGAAGCATGTGCAGGATTAACAAGTGAAGATAATTCATATTCCAGAGTCCCTTCCCCCCTTCAAAAGAGACACACATAAATTCCGAGTTGGGACTTGAACTTGGCCCTATTGTTCCCACCCCAAAGAAACATAACACTTTAGCCCTAGGGACTTTATAGGAAGGTATCATAAGCATGTTTGGTTTACAGACTTGGCTATTGTAAGCAATATCCTCAGAACTAAACTATAACAAATGATTATTTTAAATTGCCATAAATTACAATTTTCTTTATTTTGGGAATCAGGAAAATAGATATTTTAAAAATGGAAAAATTCTTTTAAGAAGCTTTTTTAATATTGTGGGCTTATTTTGTGCTAGGGAATGAACCCAGGGCTTTAGCATGCTAACTAAGCACTGGCTCTACCAACAGCCCCTCATATGAACGTAAGTGAGCTATACAACTTCTACTCCCTCCAGGAGGAATATGGTAGTTTCCCACACTGATGGCTAAAACCACAGGCTAAAACATTGAGATTTTCATTAACAAACATGAGCTCCATGTGTTTTCTGGGTCTATTTTTTCCTCAGAAAAAAGGAAAAGTATTCAGTTTCTAAAACCCTATACTAGTTTAGTACTAATTCAAGGAAAAACTAAGCACTAAAACCGAGAACATTTAAGATATTGACAAGTGTCTGAATCTTTAGTCTCCACGAGTGTTCACTGTATAATTATCTTCTAAATTACATGTTTTGATGTGGATACTACATTTCACAATTAAACAGAAAGAAACATTTAAAGAAAACAACTATGAAGTTGGCTATGCAATTCAATTTTACAATCTGTTTAAAAAATGTACCTTCTATCTCACTGTAATTATTCAGCAACTCTAACCCCAAGTTAAATTAGATAGAGTATTATTAACACAATGTAAGCTCAGACCACATGTGAAAAAGGAATAAATATTAACAATCTGGAAGGAATAATCAAGATATTAAAAAGAAGAAAAAGAAGCCTAAACTAAAGAGCCTAAGGAGTTCTGAAACTTTAATGTTAAAGTCATATTTTTTAAGAGTTTACTGCGTCATAATTTAAACAGTTCCTAGTAAAGGACACCTTACATGTTTGGCCTTTCCTAAGGCTCTCTTGGATGCATTTAAGGTGTGCATTAAAATAAGAAAGAAAGAGAAAGAAAGAGAGGCAGAAAAGCAGAACATGTTGCTGGCAGAGAATACAGGAATTCTCCAAGTTGTGAATATGCTTACAACTGTGAACACCACAGAGCAAGGTAAAAAAGGGGCCAAGGACAGGTGTGTGAAAGTATTAATCACAGTACCATGAGGATGTATTTTCAAATTTCAAAAACACTACAAACATTGTGAAACCCATGTTGTTAAAACAGAAGTCACTAATAGTGAAAGTCAAACCTTCAAGAGATGCCTCTCAATATTACACCTAAAACCATAACTGAGCTTTTCTGTTTGGGCTCCAGGAGCCAGTTTCTAGAGCAATAAATAATAAAAAAGCGGGGAGGGGGATTACTTCTAGGTACCTTTTAAACCCAGAACCATATATCTGCTCAAGAGAGGGTAATTCCCTTAAATATCCCTAACTCCATCCATTTATAAAAACTAAAGAACAAAGAAGTRAAAATTTCTTATTTCAAAACAGCAACATGTATAGCAATTTTTAAAGACACCAGAAGAAACAAACTATTACTACAAAAGCATTCTCGGGGTTATTGTATACTCTGAATCAATGAATCAGAAGAGGTGTGGGGGGGCACGGACAAAGACCCATTTCCTCTTTCTTCATAATTTTCTGTAAAACTTCAGGGCCCAATTTCCAAAAAAGGTACAATTTGGTCAAGTCATTCATAATTGGTGTTATTAATACTCTGACTTACATTTCAAAGATGTCTTTTCTGAAATAGTAATAATCATATTTCTATTTTAAAAAATGGATATAAAAAGTAGCCTGGTTGTTTTGACTTACCAGGATATTGTCTGGCTTGATATCTGCATGTAGGATATTGCACCTTTTAAGGAGTTTCAGTGCCAGGAACAATTGCTGACTATAGGATCTTAC